TAAGTGTTTTCTTTTAAATTAGGTTAAAGAGGAATGAGTGGGTGAGGTCAGGCTAACACAGACCCAGGATTTTAGTTGTTTTCATTTGGTGTCAGGAGCTGACTGTCGAAGATGATAGACACAGCTATCTCTCCACTGCACCAAAAAGTTTGAGTTCCCTCTCTGCTGTTCAGTTGATTCTTCATGTGTTCCTTTCTCCTGGACTGGAAGGGAAGTAGCATGTGAGGAGAATGTGTTTTGCTGAATTTGTCTTTGCCAAGGATGTGTTTATGGGATACTGCCATATTGGAACAGTTGATGATGAGTAATTAAATTATTTATTATTTTATTAAGAATTTCAATAGAATTCAAGTTCTTTCAATTCTTCACTTTTGTTTGTATTTTAACTGTGTTTTAAGAATAAAGTGTGTGTTTGCTTAAAACCTAGTAGCAGACCAATTGAATCACATCTGGAACGCCACACCTTACACTTGCCTTTACACAAGATAAAAGTTAGGGTCTAGACTGTCTCCTTGATATATTTTGAGAGGGTTTGATCTGGTCCATAACAGAACTGTTTACAACATATATTACTGATTTGACGGAAGGAAGTGAATGTACTGTGGCCAAATTAGCAGATGACAAAAATAGATGGAAAAAGCAGGTTGTGAGAAGGATACAATTTACAGAGAGATATTGATAGTTTAAGTAAGTGGCAGATGGAGTATTATGTGTGAAAACATGAAGTCGTTCTTTTGTTTTGCCTTCCAAAATGAACAAGGTTATTTAATTGGAGAAAAACTGCAGAAAGCTGCATCACGAAGGGATTTCAGGTACTTGTATACAACACACAGAAAGCTAGCAGCAGGTGATCAGGAAAGCTTATGGAATGTTGGCCGTTATTTCAAGAGGGTTGGAGTATAAGAGTAGGGAAGTCTTACTCGAACTGTACAATGTTCTGGTGAGACCACATCTGAAATACTGTGAGCAGTTCTGGTTCCCTTATTTAAGGTAAGATATCATTTCAATGGAGGTAGTTCAAAGAAGACGAACTAGGATGATCTCCAATATGGTGGGATTGTTTTATCAGCAAAGGCTATATGGGTTGGGACTCTACTCACTGATGTTTAGTAGAATGAGAAGTGATCTCATTGAAACATATGGGATTCTTAAGGAGCTTGAGAGGGTAAATGCTGAGTGGATGTTTCCTCTCATGGGAGAGTCCAGGAGCAGAAAGCAGAACTTCAGAATAAAGGAATACCAATTTAAGACTGAGATGAGGAGGAATTTCTTCTAAGGATTGTGATTTTTTTTTAAAATGCATTGCCACAGAGAGCTGTGGGGACAGAGTCCTTGGGTATATTTAAGACTAAGATAGATTCTTGATCAGAAGGGGAATCAAGGGTTAAAGGAAAAATGCAAGAAAGCAGACATGAGTAGTGTCAGATCAACTACGATCCTATCGAATGGCAGAGCAGGCTCGAGGGGCCTCAGGATCTCCAACCTGCAACCCCTAGCCTGATTTAAATGCCCTGCTTCAGGGGTCAGCATTAAATTCTACCTATTAAACTGGTGCCTCTGTCTGCAAATATTGGCCGCTGCTTTCTCCAGTACTTTCTTCCTGCTTTAATTTCAGATTTCAAGAAATTTTTTTGGATACTATTGCTACCCTATTTCTAACAGAATTCTTTCACTTTCTCATGTAGCACTGACCTTATTTAGACAGATGCAATGAGTGATCCAGATTAGATTGGTTGAATAGAGAAGACACGTGGGAAGACCATGCAGTTATGAATTTGGATGGAATCAGAATTCAACAACAACTTACATTTAAATAGCAAATTTAATCAGAATGGAAGTGAGGTAATTGGGATACATAGGCTTAGATCACCCATTCCTTGGCACAATGGTTCTGATACATATATACATATGATGAACGTATTCACATGAGGCTGTCAAGGTTGTTTGGCACAAGAAGATCAGTTTATTGTACAAAAGACAAAAACATCTATGTCTATGATAGTTTAGAGCGATCTTAACATAATCAGGAAAACAAAGTTTTAACCTGTTTCCCAGCCATGTCCATTGCAGGTATTCAATCCCTGAGAAACATCAGTTGCATCTCAAATCTTTAATTTGTTATCTGACACTTTCCAGTTATTCTTCTTGAAGTGGAGAGGGAGTTTTGTAACTTCCTTTCACTTCTAGTGGCCCAAAACTCTCATCAGTTCTGACAATGTAAGAACTGTATATAAGATCTTGCAACTTGGTGACTTTGTAAACTAAAACCCTTCTAGAGAATGGCTGTTCTCTTAAAGTGAAGTCCTGATTCTTCTGAACTGAAGTGAAACTAATTAATGGCTTCTGGTTTGTTTTCTCTATTTCTTGTAAATTCAACAGTGTAAACATTTCATCAGTTAACACCAAAGGTATATTTCGGTCACTGTTACAAATTACTTTATGACCTTGTTTTATAAGGAAAATATTTTCTTTATAAACCTGAAACCAAATTCCTAGTGCCACTATTTCAAAAATCCAAATTTCCCAGTGATTATTAGTTGATGACTGATTATCACATAGAACATAGCTAGAACCTTCCAGAAACCACCTAAATCAATATCAGACAATCACCACCATGTACCTTCTGATGGGTCTGGGATGCTAATTATTGTGTTATAATCTGCCACAGATGATTGTCTCCAAGTAAAACCCCTATGCAATAGAATTGCATTTGACATGTTGATATATTAATGACTTTCCACGTAACCTCTAGACCATCTGCAATGGCTATCAGCAATGCAAGCCTTTATCTTAATGACTTAGTAATTGACTCCCACAGTACTACTTTTTTAACTACATTTTGAAATTACAGTCAGTTAAGAGCTCAGCACTGTTCCATGCAACATCTACTAACAGTATTAATATCCCAGCTCTGTGCTACAAAGGAAAAAGCCTGTGGTTTGTTAAAAGCAGCCACTCACTTATTTGTGATCTCTCCAAGTAAAACTCTTTCAACAAAGCAGAAGTTGTATTTCAGCAAAACTTTCTCAGAAGACTTTCAAAATTGTTTTTAGAGAAGAACCAGCCTACACTTGTCCAACCATGGGCTAGTCTATCAACCATCCCCACAGAAAGAATTCCAGACTGCTAACTTGAGTCTTGGTCTTTAGGACTCCATCTTAACAGTTTATCAATATCCTTCCTTTTATTCCTCAGTTATAGAGTCATATAGCTGTACAGCATGGAAACAGACCCTTCAGTCCAACTTGTCCATGCCGACCAGATATCCCAAATTAATTTAGTCCTCTTTGCCAGTATTTGGCACATATCCCTCTAAACTCTTCCTATTCAAATACCCATCCAAATGTGTTTTAATTTTATAGTTGTACCAGCCTCCAGCCATTCCTCTGGCAGCTCATTTTATCCAGACATCACCCTCTGTGAGAAAAAGTTGCCGTTTAAGTCCCTTTTAAATCTTTCCCCTCTCACCTTAAGCCAATGCCCTCTAGTTTTGGACTCCGCCACCCAGAGAAAAGACCTGGGCTATTCACCCTATGCATGTCACTCATGATTTTACAAACTTCTGTAAGGTCACCCCTCAGCCTCTGATGCTCCAGGGAAAATAGCCCCAGCCTACTCAGCCTTTTCTTATAGCTCAAACCCTCCAACCCTGGCAACATCCTCATAAATCTTTTCTGAACTCTTTCAAGTTTAACAACATCCTTCTTAATGCAGAGAGACCAGAATTGAATGAGATATTCCAAAAGCAGTCTAACCAATGTCCTGTACAGCTGCAACATGACCTCCCAAATCCCATACTCAATGCACTGACCAATAAAGGTCTCTTTGTTCAGAAACACTGCCCAAGACCTTACTATTAAGTGTATAAGTCCTGCCCTGATTTGCCTTTCCAAAATGCAGCATCTCACACTTATCTAAATTAAATTCCACCTGCCACTCCTAGGCCCATTGGCCTGTCTGATCAAGGTCCCGTTGTACCCTGAGGTAATCTTCTTCACTGTCCACTACACCACCAATTTTGGTGTCATCTGCAGACTTACTAACCATACCTCGTATGTTCACATCCAAAACATTTATATAAATGATGAAAAGCATTGGACCCAGCACCGATCCTTGAGGCATTCTGCAGATCACATGCCTCCAGTCTGAAAAGCAACACTTTACCATCACGTCTGTCTTCTACCTTCAAGCCAGTTCTGTATCCAAATGGCTCGTTCTCCCTGTATTCCATGTGGACCTTGCTAACTGGTCTATCACGCAGAATCTTGTTGAATGTATTTACTGAAGTCTGTCTAGATCACATCCACCGCTCTGTCCTCATCATCCTCTTCATTACTTCTTCAAAAAATTCAATCAAGTTAGTGAGACAATTTCCCATGCACAAAGCCGTGTTGACCATCCCTAATTAGTCCTTGCCTTTCCAAATACATGTAAATCCTGTCCCTCAGGATTCCCTCCAACAACTTGCCCACCACCAATGTCAGGCCCACCGGTCTGTAATTCCCTGGCTTTTCCTTGCCACTTTCCTTAATAGTAGCACCACATGAGCCAACCTCCAGTTTTCTGGCACTTCACCTGTTGCTATTCATGATACAAATAGGTATGTACGTAAGTTGTAATTGAGTAATTGTTATCGTTTTCAATTCGATCTTTCCATGTGTGTGAGTGAACCTGTGTTGCAAAGTAGTCCCCCTGCATCTAATAATGTGTGAAATAAACCCCATTCTTAATTTAACTTGAACATAGTGTTATTGTTGTCCTTATAACGTCAGAGTCCACAAACTAAGGAAGTCGCAGAGATATACCCCAGTAATTTTTTATGAAAAGAAGGGAAAAACTTGAATCAAAATCTACTTTTGTTCAGTTGGTGAGAATAGAGAGAGAAAGATTTGGTTTAAAATCTGTAATCTGTCTACAACAGACACTAAATATAAAAATGCACATGTTTACTATTTAAATGGTAAAATGCATTCTTATTTTATTGTGCTGTTGTTTTCCAGATTTGTTTGAAAATGGAGGTGCAGCCATGTTCAAAGTCGTGTCTTTTGACACACCATCTGGAGTAGTGCTTGCAGTTACGTTTGCGAGCAAAGTGAAGAGTAACTACAAAATTGACTGGAAGGCTGTGCAGCATGAAAATAAGGAAAAGGTGCACGTAGAAGATATTGAACAATGCAAGTAAGTTCACAGGAGGGGAAGAGTTTATTTTAAATAATGTAACAATACTGAATGCCACATTGAGTAAGAACACTGCATTTTCATCTCCAAAGTTCATGTTGTAGAATGGAAATCATGTTTAACTGTCAACTTTTAAGAAAGAAAACTAATTTGTAAATATGTAACGGATACTGAAGAAACAAAAGCAGAGTACTGCAGATGCTAGAAATGTGAAATAAGAACAAGAACTCAGCAGGTCGCTATCTCTTCACTATATCTACTACCCCTTTATTTGACTGATGCATCATCAGTTGTTCTTTAATCTCCTGTGGCGTTCATCCCATCCTATCACAAACTGTCTTCCTTGCTGTTCCTAGCTGACCTTGACCCCACTACCTCATCCCAATCTTCCATTTAAAATCTATACGAAATTCTCTTCAATTCTGGTGAAAGGTCATGGACCTGAAAGGTTAAACTGTTTCTCTCCACAAAGGCTGCCTGTCTTGTTGTGTTTTTCTGACTTTTTTATGTTTTTAATAATAAAGAAGCCTGACATGTTTATTAATTTGCAATAAATTGTCGGACATCTGTCAGGATGATTGGAAACATTCTACTTGCAAACCCAAAATATAAGTACTGTTACAACCAGGCAGGGAGGGATCACATCTCCAGCTTTTTAAACCCCCTTTTTGTTCTCTTTTAGCACATAGCCAGTGCACTTCAATTAAACTTAATTAACCTGCTCAAAAATGAATGAGCCAATTCCAAGGTTTTCTTAAGCGAAAGAGACAGAAGTCTTATTACTTCCTACCCACGAAAAAATGGCACTTCAACAAACGGATGCATATAATTGTATAGGTAATAAGCTCAGAAAGAAGTAGGGGAATGGTGTCTAGAACAGTAAACAAAAGCAACATAGATCTAAAAATCCTTTAGGAAGCAAGAATACTTAGCTATTCATCCATTTTTTTTAGAGTTTCAAAGTTTGCAGTTCTTGAATTCTCACTGTGCAGGAATCTTTCCTATTCATTTTTTTAGTGATGCTGGTTTGTGCAAATGAGAATGATGCAGATGTTTCAGTATCCTTGCTGTCGTGTTGCTTCCTTCTGTCTGTTTTGTTCAAAGGCTGCTGTATATATAACGGTACCTTCTCAAATTCTGATATCTGTCTCATTTCATTCCAAGCTGCTTGGTTTGTAGGCAAGCTTTCATCTCTCAATATGTTCAACTATCATGCAAGTATGAGTAAAGCGTGCGCTGCAAATTTCTTGACACTTCACTGAGTTTCAGTGTCTCATGATTAAAATGATAATTCCCAGGAAATCAGTTTCATATATTCCATATAGGTTGCCTGGGCTTGTTAGGTGATCGTTTTAGGTCAATAACATCCTTTTAACAACTGATGAAAGTCTCAGGAATTGAAGTCAAATGATGAAAGTTTAATATTGATAGTCCATTCTCACATTATTTGTCATGATATACATGAAGTTTATGAAGTTTTTCTTGATCTTTTGGAATTACCAAATACTCGCATTCAGTAATGGAGAAGGAGTTTCTTTTTAATCTCTCAAAGGACAAAGTTTAATGGGAACTTCAAGCTGTCCATGTTTTGGCTAATTCCAGGTTGTTGTTTTATTTTGGAGGGGTTAACCACACAGGGCTCAGCATATCTTACCAAACTGGCTTCATTAATTACCTACCATGCCCCTTTGGTGTATCTCTCATCCGGTCTCCACCCCAAATTGACATATGCCATTCTGCCAATCGCCACTCAGCGGATATTCATCTGAATTCATCAGAAGCCCTTATGCCTGCACTATCTTTAAAAGCCAATTACGTACCTAGACAAGCGCTGTCAGTGCAGACTTGCCTTGCATAGTTGCTGATGGTTTGCCTGGAAATAGCAGACAGGGATGTCGGCACCCTGCTTTATGGGAATGGTGCTGGTCATCCTCTTGGACAGGGTGGTGCCGTCGTGGGACTTATTACTGCCCCAGTATGATCTCTTATGTGGGACCTAATCGAAAACCTTCTGAAAGTCCAAGTAAACCACCTCATTACTCAATTATTACCTGGCTCCCCTTCATCAACTCTACTCATTACATCCTCTTAAAAATTCCAGTGGATTTGTCAAGCATGATTTACCTTTTGAAAATCCATGCTGAGTTCATCTAATTCTGACACGGATTTCCAAGTGCTCTGCTATTTAATCTTTTATTATGGACTCTAGCTTCTCAAGAAGTTGAGGGAAGATTTAATTGAGTTGCTTGAAGTGTAAGGGCTTTGATAGAGTAAACAAGAAGAAAGTTGTTTCTGTTGGTAGGTGAGTCAATAACCTGAGAACACAGAATTCAGCTAATTGTCAAAAAATCAGAAGGAGCATAAGAAGAAGCCCCGTGTACAGAAAATTGTTTTGTTGTGGCATTCACTATTTGAAAGGAGCTGGAAGCATATTTAGTTGTAATCTTCAAAAAGAAATTGGATCAGTTTTTCAAAGGGAAGTATTTACTGGGTTATGGAAGAAGAGTTAGCAAGTGAAACTAATTGGAAAAGCTCTTTCAGAAAAACTGATAGTTCAATGATGCATGACTGTGCTAAAAGCTTTCACAATGCATTCATCTTACAACACTTCCAGATCTTCCAGGAGTAAAAATCATAAGTTAATTGCTTCTCGGTGTCAATACATGGTTATTCCATTAAGAATGACCTTCAACTGCAGCTGAAGAACACTACAATGAGATACATGTCATCATAAGATTGGTGATCAAGAGGACCTTTAGGATCAATAAAGGTTTGATTCCCTGTCTGGATAGATCAGGAAAAGCTCATAATTGTATTTCAAACCATAGTTTGAACATAGTCATAGTCTGTCACGTCCTTTTGAAATTTAATCATGTGAGGAAGTTTGTATATTGCTACCAAGGAGGACTTTATTCCTTTGGAGCCCATACTTTATGGAGAAGAGTACTATAATTATTTGCATTCAGATAAGACTATAAGACAAAGAAGCAGAATTAGGCGATTTGGCCCATCGAGTTTGTTCCGCCTTTCAATCAGAGCTGATATGTTCCTCAACCCATTCTTCTGCCTTCTCACTGTCGTCTTTGATCCCCTGACCAATAAGAAACAATCTGTCTATCTTAAATACATTCGATGACTTGACCTCCATGGTCCTTTGCGGCAAGCAGTTCCACAGATTCACCACCCCCTGGCTGAAGAGATTCCTCCTCCGTCTCAGTTCTAAAGGATTGTCCGTATCCTTTAAGCTTGTGCTTTTGGGTCCTAGTTTCTCTTACAAGTCTTCTCCACGTGCACTCTATCCAGGCCCCTCAGTATTCTATAAGTTTCAATCAGATTCCCGTCATGCTTCTAAACTTTCTTGAGTACAAACCCGGAGTCCTCAACTGCTGTTCATGTGACAATCCCTTTATTCCCAGGTTCATTCTTCTAAACCTCCTCTCGACCCCTATCCAGTGCCAGCACATCCTTCCAAAACTGCTCACAATATTCCAGATGCGGGCTGACCAGATACTGAGACAGTCTCATCAGTACATCTCTGCTCTTGTGTTCTAGCCGTCTTGAAATGAATGCTGACATTGCATTTACCTTCCAAACTGCCAGCTGAACCTGCGTGTTATCCTTAAGAGAATCCTGAACTAACACTCCCAAGTGCCTTTGCGCTTTAGATTTCCAAAACCTTTCCCCATTTGGAAAATAGTCAATGCCTGTCAAGGTGCATAACCTCTCACTTTGCCACATTGTATCCCATCTCCCAATTCCTTGCTTACTCGCCCAGCCTGTCCTGTCCTTCTGCAGCCTGCCTGCTGAACACTACCTGTCCCTCCACCTATCTTCGTGTCATCTGCAAACTTAGCAACAATACCCTCAGTTCCTTTGCCCAGATTGTTAATGTATAACATGAACAGTTGTGGTCCCAACACGGACCCCCGTGGAACTTCACTTGTTACTGGCTGCCATCCTGAAAAACCCCTTTATACCCACTCTGTCTTCTACCTGTCTGCCAAACCTCTAGTAATAAGTGTTTCTTAATATTATCAATGAGGTAATACTGCAGTCTTTTCTCATGCCAGCCTGTCTGAAGTCCATTTTGTTCACTTTATCCAAAACGTCTTTGTTAAGTTACAAGGGTGTGTTGGTCTTTAGACTGGACAAGGAGGCAAAGGAATAGTGTCTGCTTAGCGAGGTCATTGAAATTCTTGTGCCATTGATCTATAGCTCTGAGGGTAACAGGTTTGACATTCAGTTCCAATGCTGTCTCCCTCCTGGTGCTTTAGACATCATGTTGTCTGAAACTCTTAATATCACTTGAAGGAGACTTGAGGCAGGAGTCTGTGAATTTATAGCACTTGTGCCATATCTAGCTACCTTATTTGATTGTGTACCATTTACTCCTCTAGTAGTAGTCCTCGAAAATAAAAAAAAGGTATGAACACACGTAGTAAAGTTATCCTGGAAACCACAGAATAAGCCAAGTAATACCCGTTCCTTAATCTACTTTTGACCCACTCCAGTGCTGCAGTGTTCAGCAAGATTTGACTTCTAATCTGCTAAAGTTGGGTTGAATGGAAGTTAAAATTACTTTGTGTATCATTTGCACTACTCATTAGTCTAATCCATTGATGTAAAAATAGTATGATTCACTTTGTGGCTAGTCCCCAACAATTTAAATGCAATGCATATTTCCAACTTGTATCTATCATTTATGATGGAGGAGAAATGATCTTAGGATCCCAGAAGTGAACTGCCAGCCTGCTGAGCAAACAAGCAACAGATGCATTGTTTGCCAGGCCAAGTTTGCAATCAACATCCTCATGAGCAACTAACAGTAATATGCCAGGGAACTGTAGTTTTACAGCATGTCAAGATTATCAAAGTACAATGATTTGTTGATTTCAAAATGGACGTATATGCTTTGCATCAATGCCATCACCTATATCAACATGAATGGAATTAACTTTCTCAAGGACCATCTACTTCGCAAATAGCACCACTGTGTCTCT